CTTAACAGAATGATTTATTTGTAAACACAGTTACACGAAATGTGTGCTCGCACATAAATTTATATATTCATACATTCTGTTCACACATGTTGGAATAAAAAAAAAAATATATATATATATATATATATATATATATATATAGACAATATTCACGAATGCGTAATTCCCAACGACAAAAAGTTGTGTACATACATAGTGCAGACTGTATTGTCTCTTTTACTTCTGTTTCCTAATTCATTCTCTCGCTGTTTCTGAAAATATTACTTTCTTTCGTACATTACATATTTCATATTTATTTAATAATTTTAATTAAATATTCATTTAATCTATCTCATAGATTTCCTTAAATCATTTGTTATATTAAAATTTTAGCTACTATAGTTTACTTATTTTATAAAATAATTAGTAAGAAGAGAAAACATTTTCTATGCCACTTTCAAATATATCGATTTACTATTTTTCTTCTTACAGCAAAAAATTTAATTTTCATAACTCCCTGACTTTCAATATAGTGATAAATTAAACTTTTTCATAAATGCACTAAATTATAAAAGAGAAACTTCGTATAAAAATTAATATTAAATATTTATCAAATGCTGTAATTTTCTATTTATTTTCACTATTTAAAAGTCAACGTAAAACTATGAAATTTTTTATATTCGCTAACAAGTAATGGATATAATGTTAATTGATTAAATGTAGATGATATGGAGATTTCATTTCTTACAGAATTTATATATTAAAAGCTTATTGGCCTATTTGTGATACTTTAGTATTAATAACTACTTTAGTATTAATGCATTTATTTGAAAATCGAATTGAAATTCGCAATCCACAAATGAAGGCAATTTAACGAGAATAATTCCAAAAATATAATACTATAATTGTACAATATATAATTTTGGATATCTTGTATGTAGCCTTATTTTTTATTATTTTTTTTTTTTTTTTGAAATATTGATACCGACCAAAAAATTCTTACGTCTAAGAATTGCCGCGTACGTGCTAACCAGTTCCAACGGGAAATCTATGAGAACGCCATATTTTCTCATATAAAAGTCCGTCCATGTTGTATGATTGGGTAAATCCCAAACTCACAGCCTATGTACTCGGACATAATTCAAAATGTGTGAAATTCTGAACTTAACTTACAACTCGCTAAGTCTTAACGTGAAATTTACGATGACAAATCATCTAATATTTGCTTTGTTGAGCATAATATTTTCTTTGAATCAGTCAGTAATATTTATTACTTCATTAATAAATAATTACAAGCAAAACTGAATTAAAAAGATTATTTATGCAAATATAATTAATACTAATATTAATTTTTAATATTTTTACAGCGTGTTGATATTGAATATCTTCTAATCATTTCATCAAACTTTATCTTTATCTATGACATAAAATTTATTTCCACTGTATGGGAATTTAGAATAATTTCACCAAAACAAGTAATTTTAGAATAAAAATTTAATATCTATTAAATTTCTGCCCAAAATGAAATAATATCTTTTCCATATATCGGATTTCTTTTTGAATGTACTTTAAAAATCTATAGTTATACAATGAATGAAAAATATCTCACCGATAGCCTATTTAAATAAGATGGTCTCTAAAAATCAATTGTATCGTAACTTTCTATAGTCCTTTTTGATATTCATATAAAAATCAAAACTACAGAGCATAGGTAGGGATAGAAGGTATAAACTCAGAGAACTCAGAGAGCGACTTTTGAACATAAAATTTTGTGCAAATTATCTCTATCTTTAAGATAATTCGGAAACGTGCGGTATAATATTCTAGCGCGGTGTAAGCAACTCACGTATCACTTTTATATAAGATATCGCTCGAACAATTTTTATAGTAAGCTTTAGTCGAAGGAATTATTAAAACCAAGCGCTCGTCGCATTAAGTATGAACATGCCCCTAACTGCCATAAACAATATAACTAAACATAGAAAAATACGTTGAAATAATCATTTAAATATTATAAAGTATTCTTTGTAAGAAGCTATAGAAAAATTATGGAAATGTGAGAAAATGATAAGAGTTTGAAACAGAAGTAATAGATGAACGTGAACTTGATTATTTATAAAAAAATTTCTTCTAAATTATTTCAAAACATTGAAGATATTATTAAGCAGGGCATCTAATTCATTGCCAAATCGTAGAAAAAACATATATTTTATAATATTGATTGCAAAATTAACAATTGTTATTCATAAGAAATACATTTACATAATGCCTCCTTGGCCAATAAATACCACATACAAAATTCATTATAATTAGAATCGGTAAGTTTGAACTTTTCCGAGTAATACCTTTGCATACTACTCTGATCTATTCTTCTTCCGATATTCTTCATACGAATGTTCGATTTTACCACGAATAAGACTTCAAAGTGTTAAGTGCATAAAAATAGATTCTTTCGCAAAACGTGAAAAATACTTGGAGCGCAATGTTAATAGAATCAAAGTAAAGATAATAAATTTATTGAAATTAGTTTTTATAATCATTTATATAGATAAATTTTACGATAATTTATTCGATAATCTCATATAAGTAATTTATACTTCATACATATGATATTTCTTCCTCCATTATATAATTATTACTAACACAAAATTCATTTCATTCATTCATAAACTATGGGTATAGACAAAACGAAAATTCACAACGTAATAAACTCCAAGAGATGCATCTTAGTACTAATTATATAATATTCTTCTTTCTTCGTTTATTAATAATTCAGTGCTTCGATCCACTGAATATATTAAGAGCGTGTCAAAAGTGTCACCACATCCGTAAAAGATGGCGAAGTATAAAATTTGACTCAACTAGCGTCTACATTTTCAAGAGAAGGATATTGACTGAAATGCACTTGCATCTTAGTACTAATTACGAAGCTGACAAACTATAGTAAATGTTACTACGAATACATTTTCTAATATCTAAAACATCCAAATGGACGAAAATGTATGCAAGACCTATATTCACAAGTATGACGCATTAACGTAACTTTACATTATGCACGCGGGTAATTATCTGTATTTCCAAAAAATGTGAGGAACTACTATTTTCTATTTTCAACGATTGTACGTATTTTTGATATTTTCTTATTAAATTTTCAATGGTTATAAATTTTTTTATTCAATTTATTTCAAATACACAATAGCAAACATTAACTAATATCTACGTGTATTAATTATTGGAATTATTACAAAAATGTAGGATAAATTTCGTAATTTTTAACGAGAAATTTGATTTATTATATAGCATTTTCAATATTTGACTTAAGTAAACTTAGATTTACTTAAAAATTCAAATAATGCTTAAAGGATACATTTATAGTAAACTCTTGTTTAAAGCTTATTCCTGCAATTTTCATTACTTTAAAAGAAAAAATTTTAATATGCAAATTTATGTGCTCAATCATAGGAAAGAAAAACAATTAACAATTGAACTATATACTGAGCATAAATCGGAATCTAGTTTCATTAAAATCAAAATAATAATTATAATTAAATTTTGCATAAAAAAAATCTCTAAATATATGAATTTAAATTTATAATTTAATGTTCGTGAATATTATTCATTCGACAAAATTACGTTAACAAATATAATTTATTAAAGAACATAATTTATTACTTTATATAAGTACAGAAGTTATCGACTGTGTGATAAATGACATAATATTGTAATAAAATGTATTTATAATATGAATTTACATTGAAATTTTTTAACTGTTTTTCATATTGTAAAGACTCGATTAATATTTATACATAATGGTAGCAATTACGTATAAATTGCCATTCAAACAAAACTAAGTAATAAAATTACATAAACTTTTATGCATAGTAAAATAACAATTTCTATAACTTAAAAATATAATAAAGTAATACACAATAAATAGCATATGATATTTAAAGTCTATGTAAAAAAAAAAAAAAAAAAAAAAAAAAAAAAAAAACAAACAAACAAACAAACAAAAAAACCAAAAATTAATCATACAAAACAAATTAAACGAAATGGATAACGAAATAGTTGCTATTAAACAAATGAAAACTAGACATCGATTGATTTGCTATGAACTTCTAAAATGTCTATTGATAATTTTTATGTACTGTGTATTATTGGAGAAAATTGAAATGAATGACAAAATGATTAATTATTGATTTTAGTACATAAATTATAAAATTAAATCCAAAAATATACTTTTATAAAGGTTTTTAGTTAAATAAAATATGAGAAACCTGAGATTTTCAGTCAAAGTCCGACATTTTTCATATAAATATATAGATATATATATATATATATATATATATATATATATATATAAATCAAATGCCGACTAAGTGATTAAATTATTCATATAATGTCCCACTTTATTTTAAATTGATAAAATAACAAGTTTAAATTACTGAATTAAACTCGAGAGTTACCAAGTAAAAGAAAGAATTAAAATTTGTATTAGAATAACAGGCTTTATTATTTAAAATTAATAAGAATATATATAATTTATTGTTATTATAGACATACTGCTGAATTTAATATTTCTATGTGCTTTGAAATTAAAATATTTTTTGTATAAATAATATACTTATATGATAATTTTAAATATAAATTTGTTAATTCTCGATAAGCACTTTTTTTTTTTTGTAAATAACTTTTTATTTTGAGAATGAAGATTATTTATATATAATGACATGACATTTTACTATTCACGTACGTAAATTTCGTACAAATGACACTTGAACAAAGTTCTTGTCCATTGGGCACTTTACGAGATGTAAACTTTTGCGATACATTGAAATAATTGCACATGACGTAATAATAAAATTTTACCATTAGAAGGACTGCGGAAGATAAAAATGATAAATAATAAAGGACGAAAATATAACTGCAAATGAAACTTATGTAAAAATGTGTTGAGGTTTGGTTATAGCTAAAGCGTGACTCGGTCATGCTAATTATTACAGTATTAAAATTAAACTTACGACATCGATAATTTGCATGAGCGTGAGGCCGAAGCTCAGCTGAAGGGGTTCAGACTCATTTTGTACGGGACGCTCCAGCACGTTGTAGGAATCCAGGAGGTCGTTCAGCAGCTTCTTCTCGTGAAAACCGCCACTTACCAGCCCTGACCGAAATTCATTCGTATTTCAGTATTTTTGCATTTCGCATTAGCAGCAATTCTCAAGAATAATAATATACCACACAGATCGCTTAGACTGGCAACAATGGCGTCCTTTACTTTTCCTTTATTATTCTCTATTTTATGGCAAAATTATCTGCAAGCTCGCTTTTATTTATTTCCTTTCTATTAATGCATTCTAAACTCATATTATTTTTATGAATTCGAAAACTTTGTTCATTATTTCTACAACGGGTTAAATGCACTCGGTTAACCGTAAAATAATCGTTGGCGTAGCTTCTTTTTCAGGAGGCGAGCTCGAACAATAAGTAAAGTCAAAGTGCATCATAATTCTGCGCGGTGATAGCCCAAAATTTATAGAATATAAGAATGAGCTTGGAAAACTACTTGATCGTCGAATTGATTTAAGTAGCTCAACTTAATTCTAATTAAATAATGTTATGAAAATTATGGGAAACGCGCGCGCGCGCGTGTGTGTGTGTGTGTGTGTGTGTGTGTGTGAATTTGTTATTATATGAAAATATCAAATTTTTTGATAATATAAATGCAATATGAGAAGGACAGCAGAGAAAAATTGCTTATATTTATATTTGTGCTTGTAGCTCTAAATTATATTGACAGAATTTGATATAAGAATTTGAAATAATATTACTAATTGATATTAACTGGCAAGATATAAACTTTATATTTTATACGCTAAATTAGATTATTAAAGAAATTGCGACGCAAGAAAGAGTAGAGACGATTTGGTAGAAAAGCTTAGGTCGTAGACTAATCTCATCATACTAAAATCATCGTTGCGGCTCTTATATTCCACCTTAATCTTATAGGATACAACAACAACAAAAAATTCAATTCTTGTTCGCGATAATTCAAATATCATCGGTACAATTGATGACAGGAAATATCCTTAATATATTCGATGTATGTGAGGGCAGGTAGGGACCAGTAACGAGTACAGAAATTCTTGGAGAATTACACATGCACGCTCCACCACATCGCCCCAAAATATTTCTCATTATTCCATCGTCTATATTATTGTAGCCAATCTATCTTATTATCTAATTTAGCTATTTCAATTCATTAAAATTGCATGTTGTTTGAATAATAATAATAATAATAATAATAATAATAATAATAGTAATAATAATAATAATAATAATAATAATAAAAATAATAATAATAATAATAATAATAATAATAATAGAATTATTTATCTTATTCCTCTTATGAATTATAATATTATCAAATACACAGATTTCTTTATAAAATGCAGTTAGTTGTGTGTATACCTGTATACTTTATACTATTACTTCCATAACTTTATATTATAGCAGAATTCAATGTTTGAAATTAATAAATTGCAATGAAAAAGCTACTACCGAAGTTACCTTGTCGACTCAATGTTAAATTTCCAAGTTAACACCTAAATTACATTTTAACATCAATTATTTCAAAATTACAATGCTTAACCTTTACGGGAGTGCCATTTTCATTTTATAAATGTAAATTTAAATTTTCAGATGTAACCAAAACATTTCATGACTTAATGTATTATTATGATAGGTATATGATATTCAGCACCATTACAACTAAATCAAATCTTTATCCATAAGATCCCGATCAATTCGATAAAAACTCTGTCAATTTTTGTTCAATCAATACATATGAATAATTGTATATATTATATGAATAGACGATTTCATACGAAATTATAAATTTCAAGACCATAACTTGCTTACGCTATTCATTCTATTAATTATTAATCATACAAGTTTTTATATGCAAAACATAAATGTAACATTATGTTGTGATACATACGAATTTTTAAATAAAATTACCAAGTAAAATTTTTCAAGGGCTTATTTAAATTTACATCTAAATATTTATATGATTTTAATTAATTTTATTATTATTCAAACTAATGCTTCCATTAAACATCTGTTCCATTAAAATTCAGAAATTTACATAATGAATGAATAGGCTGTTGTCTGTTCATGAAAATTAATAGAACTGTTAAAATGAAATTTTTAGTTCAATCAGCGCAAAGCATTTGAAGAAGAACATCTTTATTCGAACACGAGTGAAAAATAATTGTATATGCACTTGTGAAATTAATTATGAAATGTTAAAATAGAATACGATTCACTAGTTAAATTTCTCGATTTTACATAGATTAATTATATTTAAACATTAAACACGTTGCTATGATATTTCTTTATAATGGAATAAAGCTTCTTTCAATACAATGAATTATTTAATTAATTACAACACAGAGATTGAATAATTAAAGTATATTATAGGCTGTACGTATATTTAACGTGAAATGGCAAAATTTTTCAGACTAAATAGATTATTATACCAACGTCATATGAATGTAAAAGTGAGAAATTTAATAAACTTGCCTTCACATGAAACAAGAAACATAATTATTAATATTAAATACAATGGAGCTGAAAATGTTATTATTGATAAAATAAATAATGTCACATTGAAATATAGTTTCTATTGAAATGAATTTCTGTATAAAAAATGGAAATATATGGCAAACAATCGGTAGCGCTATTCTGAATCACCAATTTTTTTTATTACTTTTACTAAGTTACACATGCAGAGCTTTTGGCAGTCCAGGAATAGAAATTTCCACAGAGGCACGTAGGAAAAATGGCCATACTTGTGGTATTGAATCAAATAAATTTTTTGGACTACCGACTCATGCATACCTCCATATTGGATTTGTCGCAACCGGATGAAAAAAGCAATGCAATTGCTCAACCAACAATTCAGCTTCGTTCTATTGCCATCGAAGCTCGACCGGATGCTCGGTCGTAGTAATTTCCTGAGAAACCACCCTTGCATTTATATCCGGGTAGGTCGGTTTAGTCCCATACTCGATTCTGAGTGCGGAAATAATTAAAACTCGTACTTTCGAAGTGTGTGCATTATTCTTAGAGTAGAAGGGAAGTTTTAACAGTTGCGAGGCAGAACATTTTTGAAAAAATTCTCTGATGATAGTTTTTGTTTTATCTTTATTTTTGTTCTTTTCTCAAGCTGTGCATTTTCCGTGTGAATACTCGCGTATTCGATTTATGCAAAACTTTCTTAGTAAAATATTCATAATCCCGTTGATATAAAAATATCAATAACTCTTTCTATTTTTTATAATAGAATATATATAATTTATATGCAATTCATGAATTTAATAGCATTTCGATAATTTATGTATAATTGACGTATAGTGTTCAATTAATATTCTAATCAAATCATAAATAATACTATTATTCACAATTGAAAAATAAAAATCTTTACAAATTACAAATTCCACTTAATATGGAAATACAATTGATGTGCATGAAAATCCAATGAATTACTTCATATTTTTATTAAAGTATAATATAGATGTATCAATGTATATATATATATATATATATATATATATATTAAGAAATCTTAAGAATATTTTTTATTTAATATATATATATTATGTAATAATATTCTCTTACAAAATGCGATTACTAGAAAAAGTATCTTTTAAATAATAAGTTGTTCTATTGAGACAGAATAATCGGATAATTTCTAATGCGATTGAATCAAATGACAATCTAATTTCTATGCAATAACAAAGGAAATTATTTGAAATTTGTAAAAAATTTTCAATTTATGACAAAAATATAATAACAAATTTTCTCTATATTTCTATTGTTCTTTTTAATGAGTCTAGGAATTATTATTACATAATTGTAATAGTAATAAACAAATAATAATAGCAATAAATTCTTGCTAAGGCAGTATCTTGGTAAAAACTTAACAATACGTATTTATTGAGAATTGCTAAGAATTGTTGGAAATTTCATTACATTTTTATTTAATAATTATTATAAACAATGTATTGTAATGAAAGTTTCAGAACAAATATATAGTATTTATATTTCTTCAAAATATGTGGCTTATCTACTTCATTATAATTTCAATCTCCCTTCATAAATGTATACTAATAAATTTAATTTCACAAATCATTTTTGTATAAATTTTATTTTCATAATTTACTTTCCTTTTTTAAACCATGCAAATTCTATTATATATATATATATACATATATTTTTTATCTTGATAAGCTATTACATTACACAACAGATTAACACGCTCAATCTCCATATCGTTGTTTCTGCAACTCGCCATAATCCTAACTTAACTATTATTAAATTCAACGAAAAAAACGCTCATAAGTGGCTTTGTAAATCAATACCGAAGTTACTCCAAATCTATATTGAAACATTTAAATATTTATTCGTAATTCATATTCATTTATTACTATTGAAACTAGTATAAAAATAATATGAATTTTACTGTGAGAATCTAAAGTACTAGAGAATTCAATTATTTGATTCCTTGCATAGGCAAATAAATCGCCATAAACCTTTATCTCGATATTGTAAACATTTTGTTCCATATATTTGAATACACTACATACTAAATTATCCAATACTGATTTTATTTAAATATTATTACAATTTTTTGTTGTTGGTTTTTTCTCCAATAAATTATATCAAGTTAATAGGAAGATTTCGATATATTAATCTTAGCTATGACATTGATACAAATATAAGTCTATACTCCTGAATATCTGAATAAATTATTCTCATATCAGTTTTCCGTTTCTTTTATTAATAGTACAACGATTTTTTATTTCAAATCAAGTTGACGTATCTTCTATCAAGATGTTCATATTAGCAATTAAATATTTCAGCATCGTATAAATCTCAAATTCGGAATAAAACCTCGTAAAATATGAAAATTATGATTTTAAATAGTTTCTCTCGTACTCTCATTAATCATCAATATTTCAAATAATCATAGTAGGTGATTACAATAATTAAAATGCATACGAAAAATTAAGCTAAAATACAACGGAAATTCTGGTAAGACACAATTTCTACCTATGTTTTGCACACTTTTTCTATCAAAGTTTTTCGAAACAATTCTAA